TCTCTCTCTCTCTCTCTCTCTCTCTCTCTCTCTCTCTCTCTCTCTCTCTCCCCCCATGCTTGCCCCTCAAATCGGTCGCCCTGCTTGCCTCCCTTCCGGAGGGCCCTATGTGGGAAAGGTAGTGAGGGGGTATGGGATTATTTGGAAGAATGTATTAGTTGGTTTAGCCGGGGATGGTAAAAAGTGAGGTGGAAGGATGGAAGAATGGAATAATAATGAAAAAGAAAGAAAGAAAAAAGAAAAATTATAGGTGGAAGAAAAAAGAAAAGATTATAGGTGGAAATCGGAAGTGATGGAAAAGAAATATATTTTGTTTGATGGGTGTGTGTGGTTTGAGCGAACGGGTACCGGGTCTTAGGTGACCCTCCGGTTTTGTATCCCTACCGCTGTGTATCGGGGGCTTCCCCCGGCGGGGTGTGTTTGGGATTCCGTGGTCCTCCTTGAGACATGGGACTGGGGACTGCTTTTTTGCAATGTCCACCGCATGATATAAGCGTTTCTGTCGCCTGTTCTCCTCCTCTTTGTGGAAGTCGACGTCTGGCTGACAGAGGGGGATCTTGGGTCCGCTCCGTTGGTGCGCATACTGTGTGCTTCTGCGTTGACCCGTGATCCCTTCTGATGTACGCCCGACGATTCCTCACTTTTCGCGGGATGGGTGTTTGGGATGCGGAGGTCCTGCTGATGCTCAGTGTGCATGCTTCCTGTCTGGCAGACCTCTCGTGCCCCATGGCATATGCTCCGTCGTTTTGGCGGCCTAGTGTCTGTTACAGTCCTCCCTCTGTGTCGGCGGTACGCTGGTGTATGGCGAGATTCGCTCCTTGAGCCTCATAGTTCGATGGAGGGGGTATTGCAGCATGGTGATACGTGCCATTGTTGCGTTCTCTGACTCACTATATGCCTTCGCCGTGCGGACGACATACTGCGCTTCGGTTACTGGATGGTGCTGTTCTCCTGATTGGCTCGCGGTCTTTGCGTGGAGGATTGAGTTGAGATGCTGGAGCTCGGTGCCCTGTGGATTCGTGCTCTGAACGGGAGTGGTTGAAGGGGGGTGGTTTGCACTTCCGTAGCATTTTGCGTTCGGTGGTTTCATATTGGCCATCGCTGGCGTGGATCGTTCTGGTTATTGGGGAGGTACGGGTGTCCCTTTGGTTATGGAGGCGCGTGATCTTCTTGCGTGGTGGTAGTGCTTTGGTGAAGATTTCATCGCTCCTCTTGAGCCCGAGGCGTGGGAATTGGTGGTGGTTTTAGTTCACTGGAGGTTTGCCCGCCTCTCTTCCGCTTCAGCAGGTTCATGGCGCCCGGCGTGGGAATGCATCGTGTCTTTTATGTCCCACCCCCCACCCCCCACCCCCCTCCGCCCTTGTTGTATGGCTTATACCGTGCCTTTTTCCACCCCTCTCCAAACCTTTCTCTATGGAATCTGGCTCATGCCTGTGAGGATTCCTGTCCCTCTCGGTAC